TAGTTACAGGAATGAATTTTTATTTGTATTTTCATTAATTTACAATTGTAGTTTGTTAGAAAGTTCAATTTTCTGTAAGTAGTCAATAAAAGCCATAGACCTTTATGGGTCACTCATAATATTTTTGGGTAGGCTCAATCCCACAAACGCGTAGGCGAAAATCATTCGTGAAACAAAGTTTTAAATTAAGAATTACAAGGCCCTAAAGAAAGGCGCATTTTTGTCAATAGGACCCTATATATTTGGAAGGCTCCAGCCTTGCTTGTTGGAGCAGCATTGCTAATTTCGGGAAACCAAGTCGCGGGTTGACCTAGATATTACTCAACTCGATGAACTAACCCAGCTCGTTAAGGATTTTTTTAATCTCCATTTCCAGCATTTCTGACAACTATAATTGCGATCACCACTACAATTCAACTGCCCTCATCACCACAAGCATAACTCACCCATCAATTTCTTCAGTAACTACCGTCATGGACTCCGACGCAAAGGTTATGATTTATTACCATTGTACATCGGCGACTCGTCATTCTGTTGACGACACTAGCAACCACCACCACTTCTGAGAAACCTTTTATCTCATGAGCAAGACCCTACCTTCCGATCCTCTATTGGTACAATATCGAAGACGCGGCAAACCCATGAGTTCTCTGGCCACCTAAAGCTTTTTCAACAAATTTCGTCAACTTCCGCCCTCATCTAGCCTCTAGTGCAAGTATAACTTCTCATATTTGTGTTGAGATCTATATTGTGATATAATTTTTGTGTATTTTAGGGTTGACCAACATCCAGCAATGGCGATGTCACATGGCCAGTGATCCGACTTTGTCTCCCTAAGCTAAATTTGATACCGTGAATCCATTTCTAATACCCGTAGATGAGATTTCGTTGTCTGAATCTGGTTCAATAAAGATCTGCCACATGCCCTTTGTAGTAGATGAAAAGTTGACCGTTGGTTGTCACGAAATTAAAGATGTGGTTATACGTAATATTTTGGGGTGGTCTTAAGAATTTATGGATCAAAAATCTGACGTACAGATATTCCGAATTGGGTTATGAAGGTTGTTGATCGTACCATTGACCACATTGACCGAGGGTTGACTTTTGGTCAAAATGTTCCGAAATACTAAAATTAACATTACTAAATATCCAATAAAGCCCATTGAACCTATCTTGGTCAGTGAGCCATAAGGGATCTGTGCTTCAATTTGCATGTGAGTGGCACCTTACTAAACTTTACGTAATTATTGAACTTCTAGATGATGTAAATGATATGTGTGACTACTATGAAAATATGAGCATGGAACCATATTAGAAATATTATGTAGAACTTATATGTATGTATGACTAGACCTTTGGTTAGTCATGTGACATAGATAATGTTTGTGCTTACAATTGTGATTCATGTTGAATTGATGTATGATGTATGATGCATGATGTTGGATGTATGATGTGTGATCATATAACTAAAACATGTAACAATGTAGTACATCGGTAGTTTTTTTTTTGTTAATCCGCATTGGGGGTCACTGCCTAGTTGGTTACCTTGTCCCCACAAGTGGTCCTGCTTGATTAATTGCATAGGGGGACCACAATATTGGGTGCATGCTTATGGTCCTACTTGGTTAATCCGCATTAGAGAACTATACACATTCTAGGGGTAACCTTGCTTGGTTAATTCGTATTGGGGGTCACTGCCTACTTGGTTACATGGTGCTTATGGGTGGTCTTACTTGGTTAATCCACATTGAGGGATAACACCATTTGATGCATGCCTATGGTTTTGCTTGGTATATCCAATGGAGGCCATACGTATTTTAGGGGTGATCATACTTGGTATATCTACAAGGGATGATCACTGTATACACTTGTGAACACGAAAATTTCCTGAAATGAAATAGACAAGAACAACGTGCACAAACAAATATTTGTATTTTATGATTTTGGGTTACAATCTCTCTCTATTTTGATCCTCTGATTCGATCTTCGTAAGGTGTGTATTTGTTGATGTGTGATTGATCCAAAGGCCGTCGAGGCTTGATCTTGGATGAACGATGAACGAAGAACGAATAAGGCTTTCTTCAAGGGCCGTCGGGGCTTGATCTTGAGGATGAGTGTTTCTTCAAGGGCCGTTAAGGCTTGTTCTTGAATAACGGTGATGAACGGATCTTCAGGGGCTTTTGGGCTTGATCTTGAAGAACGGTTGGATGTGTGGATTTGTTGATTTTGTTGATCCAAGGGCCGTCGGGGCTTGATCTTGGAAGAACGATGAACGAAGAACGAAGAATGCTTTCTTCAAGAGCCGTCGGGGCTTGATCTTGAGTTGGTGATTGTTGATCCAAGGGCCGTCGGGGCTTGATCTTGGAAGAACGATGAACGAAGAACGAAGACCACTTTCTTCAAGGGCCGTCGGGGCTTGATCTTGAATTAGTGATTGTTAATACAAGGGTCGTCGGGGCTTAATCTTGGAAGAACGATGAACGAAGAACGAAGAACACTTTCTTCAAGGGCCGTCGGGGCTTGATCTTGAATTGGTGATTGTTAATCCAAGGGCCGTCGGGGCTTGATCTTGGAAGAACGATGAACGAAGAACGAAGAACACTTTCTTCAAGGGCCGTCGGGGCTTGATCTTGAATTGGTGGATGATTGTTGATCCAAAGGGCCGTTTGGGCTTGATCTTAGGATGAACGATGAATGAAGAACGAAGAACGAAAAGAGCTTTCTTGATTCTTCGGGAACCCGGATGCTTGAGAGCTTCGGAGTTTCAGAGCTTCAGAGCTTCAAGAATTTTGCCTAATGATTTTGGTTCCTCTCTAAATGAATGAATTAGCCTTCTATTTATAGAAATTTCCAAGGCCTAATTTTGAATATAATATTCCAGATGAAATAAGTCGTTTCTGCCAGGTGTTGACACGTGTCCTGTTTGATGACTTTTCCAACTCATTTCAATTTTTCGTCGAGTCACACGCTACGTGTAAAATTTATGTAATACATGAGCATTGAAACTTTGATTTATCGATCAACATTTATATACCGAAATTTCGATGTCTACAACACTATTAGATTATGCCTATGGTCCTGCTTGGTATATCCTGATGGGGGCCTATAGGCATTCTAGGGGTGATTATACTTGGTATATCACAATGGGTGATCATTGCCTCCCTAGGGCTGTAAGGAGTGGTTGTGCTTGATAAATTTGTGACTGGTGACCACTTCCTAGTGAGATTCCATTTGAGTGCTCCAGAATCCTAGCTTTTGGTTGGGTTTGTTGAGTTAGCCCTAAACCCTACATTATTGTGAATAGAAATACTGATGGTAGACATTTGTGTTTGTAAATTAGGGTTATGATATTGCTTGAAATCCATGTAAGGAAATATAGAGATTTACTTTATTAAATTTCGTGAAAGGATACTTGTCTTGTTGGTTGATTAAGTAGTTAAATGTTAATATTGTGTATCCTTGGATCATGAAATCGATTATTGGATGGTGAAATGACAATCCTACTTGTCATATGATTTCGTTATGTAGTATGGAATCTAGCGATCTATGCTCGTTCAGTTCCATTGAGTGCTTATGGAAGTTTTATGTTTTTCTGCTAGGAAGTATCATGAGAAATGTCATAGTTTAAAAAAAAAGGGTGAACACAAATGACTTGATCCTATCTTAGGATTCGTAAGCACTTTAACATAGAGGTAAAATGCAGTCATGATAAAACAAAAGGAAAAGCTACTACGCTATTGAACCGTTAGTTTTTTTTTGGTCATTGTCTCGAAAGCGAGACATGATAGTTGAACAGGTAAGTTGTGACGTCACTTTTCGATCCTAGAATAAAAAATTGATGAGGTGACAATTGATTAAATGAAAGTTTAACGAAAAACACCTAGTACTGTTCACTTTAACGAAAAACCACATTTTTACACTAAAAAGTTAATCCTGGTACTATTCACTTTAGCCTTTATTTTGTTCTTATCATTAAAACTCAAAGTTTCCAAACCTTTTTCATTAGTTTAACATCTTCGTCAAATCATGAGAAATGTCATAGTTTAAAAAAAAAGGGTGAACACAAATGACTTGATCCTATCTTAGGATTCGTAAGCACTTTAACATAGAGGTAAGATGCAGTCATGATAAAACAAAAGGAAAAGCTACTACGCTATTGAACCGTTAGTTTTTTTTTGGTCATTTGTCTCGAAAGCGAGACATGATAGTTGAACAGATAAGTTGTGACGTCACTTTTCGATCCTAGAATAAAAAATTGATGAGGTGACAATTGATTAAAACATCTTCGTCAAATCATAAAAAGTAAAAGATATTTAATTTAAAAAAAGTGAAAAATTAGTTGAGGATTCTAATTTCCTAGACAAAAAAATTACAAATTTTACTGAACCTCTCATTAATCATTACACCAACAGCGCCCTTCCCTTCAAATGACCACAATCATTGCCAAAACAGACACCTACATCTCACAATCTAGTCTGCAACAAAAACAGTCTTTCAATTGTTTTTTCCATTCCCTCTATTTTTACTCAATATCTTTCTTGGCAATGCCTCTATTTTCACTCCATTGTCCAATTCAAAACGTCAATTTCCAATTTTTTTTTTTTTTAATTTTGAAAATTACATTTCATAAAATAGATCGATTCGTTCGGCATTCGCGGCCAGCACAGTCAATTAAGTCGAAATAGAAAAATCTCTCAGCCTTAAAAACTGACCAATGACCAGTCAAAAAGGCACTCTTACCCGAATATTCCGTTTCGAATCTCCTCTTTATCTGGAAAATCCGCAAATACGCGCCGTCTGATCCCCCATCATATCCGATCAACGGCGGAAATTTAACCTTTGACCAAGGTACAATAAAGAAATGGTGTAAGGCTGGAATGAATGATTTTCATCTGTCCAAGTTTGACCGCAGAATCAAAATTCCCAAATAAAAAGTAGTAAAAATTAAAAATTAAAAAAAAAAAGCTAACAGACAGAGAGATAAATTCTAGAGAGAGAAGACTACAAAAACAATTGTAGAGAGAGAAAACCTAAATATTCTTAGAGAGAGAGGGATAGGGAAGAAAGGGAGCTTGTGGTTTTTTTCTTCCTTCCTTTCTTTTCCTTTAATTCTTCTCTTTTGGGGGATTTGCAGGGTTTGATTTGAATCAGGGGAGGAGCGAGAGAGAAGGAGGAGAGGAGAGAGAAAGCTTGGCATTTCTCTCTCTTCTTTGATTTCTGTTCATTGGGAGGAAATTCAAGTTAGGGTTTTTGGGTTGTTGAATCAGAACAACGAACAAAGATGAATATGATGCGCCGGCTCAAGAGCATTGCTTCGGGACGTACCTCAGTTTCGTCGGACCCTGTAAGTTTGAATTTTTGTGTGTATTTGATTTCTAGTTTTGGTTTGGAGGATTTGAGCTTGTTTTTGGTAGTTTGGAAATGGAAGAAAATAAAGCAATAATGTTGAATGTTTTGATTTAGGGCGGTTTGATTTTGTGATATTTCAAATTTTGATTTCAGAAGCTCGCGTCTGGTAAGATTTACGATGTAGAAAACATGGTGGAGGATTTGTGTTTGTTTATTTATAATTTGGGAAGTATATGACTTATAAGTATATATGTGTGTGTATGTATGTATGAATGTATTCATTTTCCTAGTATCACACAACTGTTTACTGGGTGTGTAATTGTGTGGATTTGGAGGATCATTTGAGTGAAGTTGAGTAACATTTGTATTTTATATATTATTAAAAGAGGCTTTTTTTTTCGCCCAAGGGGCGAGTGGATGTTCAATCTTGTGCATATAGTTGATCCAAGTTGAAATGGAATTTTAATTTGTTTTCTTTGTTACTTTTGTATATGGCTCGCTGTTCAATGTTGGCCCGCTACTTTTGATTGGCATAGCATTTTCATGATGCATTTCTATTGTATTTAATTGCGAGCGTCGGATTTTGTTTGTGTTACCACAGATAGTAGTGTTTTGAAAGAGCATCTTGGGGGATAACTGATGGAACAAATGACTACTTTTGGTTCTTGTATGAGCCATCACATGTAATGCCCACTTTGTGTTTGGATATTAGATAGATACGTGTATATACATATATGTATATAAACTATACAGTTGGACGAGAATGATTTTCTACCTCATGAATGCCGTGGCTCTCTGGGTTTGCACATCAACGAGTCAAATTGTTATTTTAGCAAGTATATTGGATTTCTTCTTATTTCCAGGACAATGTCCAACTGAAGTATATCACTAACCTTGAGGAATGTGTATACTCTATTGATTTGTGAGATGCAATTAACGTGTTTTGCATCATAAGTACTGCATATGGTTTTTCAAGGCTTTTAATGCGCCAAGTTAGCTGTGGGTTTTTTTTTTATACCTTTTCTGGAATATAAATCTTCTGTGTAGTTAATGTTTACATCTTTAGTACTTTCCTAATTTTGTTGTGATGAAACGATCACGTGGTGATCCATGCAATTATGCTAATAGTTAATAACACAATGAGGGCTGAGTGGATTTTTTTTTCTTCACAATTTGGTAATTTGGATGCGCAGTTCATTTTTTTCCGTTTGAATCTATATTTAGCAAAGTTAAATTTATTTCTTTTTTCGTTTTAGGGAATTGATTCTACCACAAAAAGAGCAAAGGTGGATCAAGAAAATGAGAAGAAGGCTAATAAACAGTCAAATACTGTTGAGGGAAGTGCCACTGGTCTAGAGCAGCATATGGCTTCAACGTCACTGGAAACTGCTGCGAGCACATCCAGTGTATCTTCAGTAGGTAAGACCGAGACCAAAGAAGACAAATCTAGTAATGATCAGCTTCCCAAAGAAATGCATGAAATGAAAATTAGAGATGAGAAGGCCAACCACCATGATGACAAGGTATTTTTTTGTTGGCTGGCGTTGATTTTTTTTTTTTTTTTTTTTTTTTTTTTTTGTGATCCTTTTTTCATCCATATGTGTCTTTATTAACTCTCATGTGAAAAAGACATGTTTTAAACTAGTGAATATCGGTTACTGAGTAAATTGTGTAAACTTGCCTTGTGCAGGATATGGAAGAAACTATTATAAATGGTAATGGAACAGAAACAGGTCATATAATTGCAACGAAAGTAGGTGGTCAAAATGGACAACCTAAACAGGTGTGCTTAGTAATTCTGCATTTCTTATGTTGTCTCCTAGGAAGTCCTCATGTTATTCTTGTTTTTTTTTTCCAGAACTTCTTTCTGCATGACCTCATTTTCTGCTGGTTTGTCTAATTTTTCATTTTTGGTTACAGACTATCTCTTACATGGCAGAGCGTGTAGTTGGCACTGGTTCGTTTGGAGTTGTCTTTCAGGTAGTTAGAATTATTTACGTTTGTTCATCATTTAGGTTTCTTTGGTTCTGTTTTCCACTGATACAGATCTCAACGTCATTTGTTACCTTGCTTACCATAATTTATTGTGCAGGCTAAGTGTCTGGAAACAGGTGAAGCAGTTGCAATAAAAAAGGTGTTGCAGGATAAAAGATATAAAAACAGAGAACTTCAAATTATGCGCTTTCTTGACCATCCTAACGTTGTTCAATTGAAGCACTGTTTCTTTTCAACTACTGACAAAGATGAGCTGTACCTCAATCTTGTCCTCGAGTATATATCTGAAACTGTTTACCGGGTCTCAAAGCATTATATCAGGATGAACCAACATATTCCCATTATTTATGTGCAATTATATACATACCAGGTAATTTTGGAATCCGTCTATTTCCTCCACTATGTGGGAAAAGGCTTTGTTGTTGTTGTGTCTATTTCCTCCACTGCCTTTTCATTAGTGGGTTGTCAGGTTTTTTTATTCCTATTATGTAATAATAAATTGAATTATTTTCTATTTTGTAGATTTGTCGTGCATTAAATTACTTGCACCATGTTGTTGGTGTGTGCCATCGTGACATTAAGCCACAAAATTTGCTGGTAAGATTTCTTACAGTTTATATCAATTTAATCTTAGTGTTGATCAAGTATGAACAAGAATTAGTTTTCTCATTCATAGCAGTCCGATTTTAATTGATCTGAGATTATATCTTCACTCATTGTAATGCTGCTGAGGGTTTGATGCATGTGCAGGTCAATCCCCACACGCATCAGCTGAAGATATGTGATTTTGGGAGTGCAAAGATGTTGGTATGTTCCTATTCTGTGAATCTGGAGGTGCTTTGATGATATTTGGAATTCATGAAGGTCTTGGAACTGATGACTTCTTTAATTTCCTCATTTTTAGGTGCCTGGTGAAGCCAACATATCATATATTTGTTCACGATATTATAGAGCACCAGAACTTATATTTGGGGCTACAGAATATACCACTGCAATTGATATGTGGTCTGTTGGTTGTGTATTTGCTGAGCTTCTTCTTGGACAGGTACGTGAATAGCACATTGGATTCTTGTTTAACTTGTATGAATTTGGTTTGTTTTATTTTTCCAGAATCTCATGACTATTTCTGATATCATTACAGCCACTGTTTCCCGGGGAGAGCGGTGTTGATCAGCTGGTGGAGATTATAAAGGTACAGTAGATGTAAACCATTCGTTTCTTGTTATGGTGATATTTGTGCTATTTTGTGTTCTCATCTTTCTTTTGGGTATTATTCTAGATTCTTGGGACACCAACCAGAGAAGAAATAAAGTGCATGAATCCCAATTACACAGAGTTCAAGTTTCCTCAGATCAAAGCTCACCCGTGGCACAAGGTATGTTCAATATTTTAATTCAGTATTTATGGTCAATTGGTTGTATTTGTTCAGCCGAAATCTTATTGTGATTGTTATCTTCAGATATTTCACAAGCGAATGCCCCCAGAAGCAGTGGATCTTGTGTCAAGGCTGCTCCAGTACTCACCAAATCTACGTTGTACTGCTGTAAGAAAATGAACTTACTTTTGATAAATTATGATTAAAGTATGTGATATGGACAAGTCTAAAGCTAAATTGTTTCCTGGTTTTTAGTTGGAGGCTTGCGCACACCCCTTCTTTGATGATTTGAGAGACCCGAACGTGAGTTTGCCTAATGGACGAGCATTGCCTCCTTTGTTCAATTTCACAGCTCAAGGTAAAGATATTTCACCATTCTATGGCCTGGTTTTAGTTGTTGTCACCTCCAGTCTTTAACTTGATGATGATTGCCCTGCAGAATTGGCTGGAGCACCCACTGAACTCCGACATCGTCTAATCCCTGAGCATGCTAGGAATTGACGCACGAACCTGAGGGGGTCACATAAGTTCACGATGTAAATGCCGTTTTGTTTGCTTGGATGAGCCATGCTGCCTTGCACTGCGCTCGTAGACTTTCTATCGGAGGGGTTGACGTGGCAGTAATGAAAGTACGCACTGGAGTTGAAGTGGCAGGCTATTCGATCGAATAGATTTTGCGGGTGGAATGTTCAGGTGGATGTTAGTGGGGATTGCTTCGGCTAATTCCAAGACCAAATTTTCGCGATGTATGTTGTATACCTTGACTGTGAAAGAAGAGCTTTTACATGTGAATGTTAAATCATGTTGTCATATATAGTGTTTTATGAGTAATGTGGAGAGACTAAATGGGATCATTCAGATGAAATTAGGTTCTCATTGTATGCTGTTCCACTATTACACACAGATTCAAATCTTTGAGTGGATTTTCCGACGAGCCTTGCTTCGTTTGCTTCTCTTTCGGTGGTAGATCCGTATGTTCGTTCTACTAATCTTCGAGCTTAAAATGTCACGCTTGAAACACCCTCTGAAACTAAACTCAAGTCTCATTTAACATTATACACCTTCCATATGTTTCCGAAGAGCCTGCGTCTCAGGACGAAGATGACATTGACGTTCGCTAAACTTTGATATTAGGAGCTGCAAGTCACTTTCAAGGTACACGACCTGAACTCCCACATCAACTGCCATATAAACACACTCAGTCCTCCGTGAAGCAGCATTTCTCAGATAGACCTACCAAAACGGTTGTTTGTGCTACACATCATCAAATGGGTTATAGTGTATCATGGATCGACCTCAGTGAAGATTCACCAGCATAATCTGAAATACCCTACCGAATGTGAATGAACGGTAATGTACTAGCACGCTTTGAAGTAGTACTAAAAAAGATTCTAAACTATAACCTAAATTACTGCGAACTTGGCTTTCAGCAGAATTAAGATGCTTACAGAAAAGTGAAATCACAGAGTATGAGAGAAGGGAAAGTTTATATTACCCTTTAAGTCGATGTTCATTTGATCGTAACAGGATTGAGGGTGTCGATGGAACCTAACCTTTGAAGTGTTGCACGTGGACAGATTTTAGAAACAGCACCAAGAACGAGCCATTTGGAGTTAACAGACGAATCTTCTACCAGTAATCATCACAAGAGCAGTTCCCTTCTTTGAAATGATGAAAACAGTTAGAATCTCTTAATATAATATGCCGAAGATAGACCTTTGATATAAATTTCATTGCAGTATGGCAATCTCCACAAACCCGGAGATTCTTAAAAATTCGGATTGGTGCCCCTGGTGGTGTGGTGAGAAGCCCGAAAGCAACAGCCAACTTCTCACTGTGATACGCTAGGCCAAGCTCTTTACCCTCTTTATCCATGTCATGAAGCGCAAAATTCATATCTGGCACGTATCCAGCTTCCTTGATCAACATCATGATCTCATCAACCTTTGAATATATTTCAGCCGTCCTCGAATGGCTTCTATCTTCAGACATAAAGGTATGCACTTGGCTGTTCGTCTCAATCCAGCTGCATCCAGGCTCCTTAAGAATTCCCTTTGATTTCATCAATCTTCGGATTCTTGCAGCATCTTCCCATCTAGAAGCCGCAGAATACATGTTAGATAACTGAACATAAGGCACAGCATTTAGAGGTTCCAATTTGAAAAGGTTCATTGCTGCCCGCTCTCCAAGTTCTATGTTCCCGTGTACTCTACACGCAGCAAGCAGTGCCTTCCATACAGTTCCATCCGGTTCCACAACCATTTTATTTACTAATGCTTCGGCCTCATTAAGCTTCCCTGAGCGCCCCAAGAGGTCAATCATGCACGCATAGTGCTCCGAACCTGGTTGTATTCCATAAACCCTACTCATCAATTCAAAGTAGTACCGACCTTTTTCCAGAAGACCAGCATGGCTACAAGCAAATATTAAGCCGATAAAGGTAATGAAGTCTGGTTCTGCGCCAGTTAAAATCATTTGATCATAAAACTTTAGGGACTCCTTTCCTCTTCCATTCTGGGCATAACCAACTATCAAAGCTGTCCAAGTAATCACATCTTGAACTTGCATAGAGTCGAAAACTTTATTGGCGTCTTCTATGCACCCACATTTTGCATACATTGCTACAAAGGAATTATCTACTGATAAGGAGGCTTGAAGGCCGGACTTAATAAAGTTTGCATGAATTTGTTGGCCAAATTCCAGAACTGTCAGTTCGGCAGAGGCACTCAAAGCGCTGGCAATTACAAACTGGTCGGGATAGATCCCTGCAGTTCTCATCTCACAGAACAATCTAAGTGCTTTTTCATGAGAGCCATTACGTACATAGCCTGTGATCAGGGAGGTCCATGAGATAACATCCTTGTCTGACATACACTTAAACACCTCAACCGCAGCATCTATGTTCCCCTGCTTAGCATACATATCAACGAGAGCATTTCCCACAAGTTGATAAACGTCAAAACCAGTCTTGATTATCAAACAATGGATAGACATTGCATTTGTCATGTCCTTCATCACAGCAAAGGAGTTTAGAACAGATGGATACGTAAAATGATCAATCTTCATTTCTCTCGACCGCATATCTTTAAACAAGGACAAAGCTTCTTCTGCAAACCCCTGCCTTACACAACCCACAATCATGGAGTTCCAAGAAACAACATTGTCAACCTCCATGCTTCTCAATGCCTTCTTTGCACTATTAAGGTCTCCACATTTGACATACATGTCAACCAAGGAACTTTGGACAAACACATTAGCTCCGAGACCACTCTGAACAACACATCCGTGCACCTGAGCTCCGAAACTATGTGCCAAGACCGACGCAGAAGCTGTCAATACACTAGGGAACGTAAACTGATTGGATTCAACCCCTTCTGCTCGCATGTCTCGGAAAAACTTCATTGCCTTAAACCCATCACCATTCTGAGAGTACCCAGTAAGCATGACAGTCCACAAAACGTGGTTTTTCCTATCAAACAGAGTCTCAAAGAGATACTCAGCTTCTGAAATGCGCTTGCACTTTGCATACATGTCCACCAAACCCGTGACAACGAAAATATTATTGTCAAATTGGGTCTTTGTCATATAACCATGAACAAGCGCACCTCTCTGGAGCAAACCCAGTGTTGAACACAACCTCAGAACACTGCCCAACGTGTACTGGCTGGGCTTATGCCCCTCGAACTGCATTCGCCAAAACAACTCGAAAGCTTCACTTTCGCTCTCATTTCGGCAGTACCCAGATATCAATGACGACCATGTGATGGAGTTTTTACTTGGGGTCGCATCAAAGAGTTGTTTTGCTTCAGCTAGTCTTCCTGAGTTAGCATAAGCAGCTATCATAGTGTTCCAAGAAACTCATCCCTGCTCGGCATTTTATCGAACATCTGGCGCGCCTCGTCGACTCGGCCGGATTTAGACAGCTCATTGAGAAGTAAATTGGAGTGAAACTTAGACTCCGTTGAATCCACAGTGCTGCGGAGGAAACGGGTCAGTCCTCTGTGATTGAATCTGGATTGATGGGAATAATTGAAAAAAATTGAATTGAATTTGTTCATAACCAGCTTTCGCTTTTCAATGGCCGTGTAGATCATCAAGGTTCGAACTTTACAAATATAGCTGACTTCAACATCATCCAATTGATGAGAAAGGAATGTCCTTTTGGATTCTATGTAACGAAGGAAAGGACCAGAAAAATGGATACAGGCCCATTTGAATATCGAAGCTTACTTATAAATTCAAACTATATTTTATTATTTAATAAGTAAATTGTAATAATGATTCATCAACTTTAACCTAATTGGAGTGATGGTTCCTCAACTAAGTGACCATTGGTCCCTTAACTAATCAAAACGTACAGGTCATTTTTGTCAACTTTGTTAGAACTTCCATCAAAATAAATCACGTACCACGCACGTGAAGCTAAACCAAGGGCAATAAGGAAAACCAAATGAAAACCAAATGAGAAAAATTATAGCAATAGTTCCTCAACTTCTTTTGAGTACATCGATATTTTTACACTAATAGAAGCAAAGTTCAGCTAAGTCACACAATGGGTAACTTAATTTGGTATTCAATTTACCATAACTTTAACTGAATTAAAGAAATGGTTCTTTAATTTTAACTCAATTGAAGCAATGATCTCTCAACTCTAACCCAATTGTAGCAATGATCCTTCTAGCATGACTCATTTTGACGAAATTCTGACAGAGTTGACGATAAAGACTATAGCTGCACATTTTGATGAGTTAAGGGACCAATGGTCATGGATTTAAGTTGAGGGACAATTGCTTCAATTGCGTTAAAGTTGAAGGACCATTACTACAATTTTCTCTTTTTTAAATAAACGATATTCCACTTTAAACTAATATAAACTGAATGAAACGACATAGATAACCAAATTGGTCATTCCAATGTGTCAACACCAATGACTAAAATATCGATAATATCGGCGAAATATCGCCGATATTATCGTTTTTCAGATAAACCGATATTTTCACACGTATCCACCTAAGTATCGTCAAAATATCGCGATATATTCGATATTATCGAAACAATTGTCGTGGCTCCGTTGTCGGAAAGGCAGCCGAGGTTGCGTCGTCGCAGCTGCCCAGATCTCTCTCTGCAATCCAAGCTCAGACCCAAGATCTGCGCCTCCGTCGTCGGAAATGAAAAGTCCAGTGTTCTAAAACTTGCTGCAAATCCCAAACTTGCTGCAATTTTCGCAATAGGCTGCAAAAATTCGCAAAGACGAGTTGCAGAAATTCATATGAGATCGGAAGTTGTAGATATGTGAAGATGAGGGAATTTTTGCAGAGACGATCTGCAGCTCGTCTGTGAGGATCTGTGAAGTTGTAGAAATTCGCAGAGACGATCTGTGAAGATGGGGGAATTTTTGTAGCTCGTCTATGAACTATGAAGATGAGGGAAGAGAGTCTGAGTGAGTGCGAAGGGAACCATGGGATGTGATTAAAACGGGTGATGTGATGAAAACCACCCAAGGTGGTTTTAATTATGAAATTGAAAACCATGGGATGGTTTTAGTGAGGTAACCCAAGGTGGTTTTGATTATAAAATTGGGTTAAATATATAATATAAAATTCACTTATCATTAGGGATGACTGAATATTCTGTCAAGTTTGACGGAATATTCCACGGCGTCAATTAAATTTAACAAATTCCATTACTATTTAACAGAATATTCCTGACGGCTTTGACTGATGCCGTCAGTATGCCTATCACGTGGCCGCGCGTGGGGGCGCGTATTGCCGCGCGTGGGTGGTCAAAAAATTATTCTAAAAATATAGGGATGTTCGTGGAGTAGTGCAGGTCATTGTGGTATATTCAAATACCAAAATTGAGCATTGTATGAGAAGTTATTAGCTAGTTTTGCCTATGTGCTTTAAATAACGTTTTTATAGTTAATTCGCATATAGGTGAGACTTATCCCGA